AGACTCTTCAGTCTGTCTTTAAACAAGAATGAATCACTGAAGTTTTTTGCCAATAATAAACAAAGTTCATGCAACTGCAACCTAAGGTTTAGGAGACAACTTTTGGCATGGGAGGAGGAGGAAGTTGCAAGATTACGTAGTATGTTGGGATCAAGCCCAGTGTTGCTTCCTAGAGCAAAGGACTCACTTATTTTTAAAGTCAAATCAATGTTCAACTAGTGTGAATCACTTTGGGGTTCAGATTTAGCCTTACCTCCCCTTATTTGGAATAATCATGCCCCTTCAAAGGGACAATTCTTTACTTGGCTGGTTTGGAAGGGCAGATTAAAAACCTCAGTGTGGCTTCAAAGACTTGGTGTCCTACATAATGGTGTAGATGTAGCCTATGCTTTTTGTAAGTCTGAACCAGAAACAGTAGATCATATAATGCTTAACTGCCCTTTTGTTTGGAAAATATAGATTGAGATACTTAACTGGTGGGGGTGTCAATGGGTAACTCCTGAATCCATTATAAGGTTGCTAAATTGGTGGAATGGATGGAAATTCAAGAAGGGTGAACTGCAGATTTGGAAAGCTTTGCCATGTGCAATATTGTGGTCAGTTTGGAAGCATAGAAATGACATAATTTTCAATGGTGCTCAACCAACTTATATGGTCTTGGCTGATCTTATCAAGATAAGGGTAGCAATATGGATGAAGAATCACTCTTTGGGCAAGTTTTATTCTGTTCATGATTTTGTGGATAATTTGCAGCAGGTGAGAAAGTCTATTGGTTTAGGAAGATGAAAATTGCAATGTGGTTTAAATCAATTTTATTGTATTTTTGGCTAGTGTGAATTTTATTAAGCTTAAGAGAGTTTGAACATATTGCCCTTTTTGTTTTTGGCTGCTGTTGGGGTGACCAATCTGCTATGCCCTCTGTTGATTTTAGGTGTATAGGTTAGTAGGAGCAACTTTGTCTATGGAGAGCAGCAGCAACCCTCAGTGGTCTGGTATATACTCTGCAATGTCCTGGTGATTTATTTCAATCTTAGGCCGATCAGGACTTTGTTGCTGCTGCTGTATTGTGGCTCTGTCTATTCTGTATCTGTGACGACTTGGGTTAATCTTTTGCTTATGTTTTCATTTGAGCCTGTGATTACTGATATTTTCTAGAGTCTGTGCTGATTTGCTCTGTGCTATAGTGATCTGTTACGGAGGTTTGATCTAGTTATGCCCTGTTTGCCTGTGCTGATCTAGTATTATCTAGACTACAAAATGGTTTAAGGTATGGCTGATGGAGTTTGTTATTGCTGATCTGTTTTTTTGAAATTGTGGCACTTTGGTCTGTTCTTTGGCTTTTGTTAGAGCCTGGTATTGCTGATTGTTCTATTTGTTCTTTTTTGTTTGTCGCTTTCTATCGGAGATGCTTAGTATATGATAGGATGGGTTTTTTAGTGTAAACTTAGTTGGAATGATCTAACCCATTGTGATGCGTGGTGCACCTTCCTTTCTTTATTGATGTTTGTGTGTACATCTTATACCTTTCATCGTCATCAATAAAATTTTTGTTGTTTGCTGATCAAAAAAGAGTCTCATACATAGTCCTTTCTGGTAATAACCCATTCGTTAAAACACAAATTATGCACGTGTAACATTAGTACCTTTTTTTAAAAAATTGAAATCTCATAACTTTCATTCTATGCAGCTGTTTTCATAAAATTTTTATTTTTGAAATCTATATGAGAAGATCCATAATCAATTTGAAATGCGTTATTATAAAAAATAAAAATAAAAAGTGAAATTTTACAACTTTTTTTTCCCAAATTAAAAATATATATATTGAAATTTTACATGGAAAAATTATGAAAATGTGAATTTCACAAATTTCAAACAAAAATTATGAAACTGTGAAATTTGATAAAACAAAAATTTCAAACAAAATTATGATTCAATCAGATCCGGAATAGACACACATCTAGTGAAGTTTAGTCTTATATTAGATTCTTCTACAAAGTGGATGACTGATAAAAGGGAGGTTCTTGGGTGATCTCATCTTTTTATTTTGATTTACTTTTACATAGTAGATGGAGTGTCTTCTGGTGTTCTCTATTTTTTTTGTGTGCGAGCTTCATTGTGAGAACTAAGGTCTCACTTCGGTTTTCAGTTTGCTTTGGAACTTTTCCCCTCCTTTTCTAGATTCTTGTTTGTGTATGCAAGATCTTGCGATGGTTCTTGTTGATGGGAAAATTTTCGGGATGCATTTCCTGAAAATCCTTGATCTGCTGTAAGAAGTGAAATCTAAAGTTTTGAGTTTGTGAACTCCCAAGGGATGGTTATATACATTAGAGATTGGGTTCTGTTCCAGCACAGTCGGAGTTTTGGCCGTTGATGCTGCTAGTTCCGGATTGATTGGACCGAACGTGATGTTGAAAATTTATCAGTCCAATGTGTTGAATTGGGTTAACCTAACTCTGGTCTGGTCTTTTCTGTATCTATTTAGTAGATTATTTAAATCTATTTAGTAGATTTTGTTGTGAGCAGCAGTTAGGAGTGTTGCCTTTTAGGCGTGTACTGAGTTTCATTGTAAAATCTATTTTTTTGGAATATAGTTCTATGACTTACCCATCCAAAAAAAGATAAAAGGGAGGTGGCTAGGGAAAGCTTGATTTGATCAGATTGTGAGATTTTCTTTTATGTTAATAGGCCCAAGACTCCCAATGATGTTCCCACCCACATCTGGAAATGTTTCGCAACCAGGAATAGGCTTCACCTTTCCCATTTGATCAACTTCAACCGGGTACTTGAGAAGGTGACCCTTCATGTCTGTAACTTCATTGGCAGCATATTGATTCCAGTTCAACTCGCTCAGTGATCTTACCCTCCTTATGCATTCAAGGCTCTCAGGATGCTTAAAACATTCCTCAAGAGCACCGATATGCTCTGACCACAGTGACATTCTATACCCATGGACCTGCAATCAGACAAAAATAGCAGCTGGTCACAAATTCATGTCGCTAAACATGCATAAATGAATACCAACTTGCATAAAAGTTCATGACTGAATACCAAGACTACCTATAAAAATAAAAACAAAAAGATAAAGTCCATAGATTGCGGACCATAATATGTAAGCAAGCTCAGTTTAGTCACAAATCTGAACTTTTCAAAAATGTATCAGAAAAATGTCTCAAAAGCACGAGTATTGAGGTGTGTGACTCAATATTACCCCCAAAACTTTGATATGCAAGCATAATTAGAGAGAACATATGTCAACTTCAGCTTCAACTCGGTTATTTTGGTCAAAGAGACAAAAGACAAATTTGAAATGAAAACATTTACCCAATAAATAAAACAAAAGGAAAGAAAGAGTAGACACAGATTTAGACACACTTCAAGCAAGTCTAGCAATCTCAGGATGTCCACAACATAAATATTCTTCAATGCTCATGAGTTCAAATCCACAAAATTGTAGGCTCATTTTTTTTTTTTTTTATAATTATAAAAGATTGTATCATTCTTTGAATTTATGTTAACTCAAATTATTTCACCTAAAAATAATAGACATTTAATATAAAGTAGGATGGTATTATGTTTGATTTATCTGACATGAGACAATGAGTTGTAATATAAAGTAGGATGGTATTATGTTTGATTTATCTGACATGAGACAATGAGTTGTCTTTTGAAAGCCACCAACGTCAAAGCAAAATAATTGCACGAAATTCATTCTGGTGAAAGCATACCTGCCCACGTGGAGTAGAGTGTTTGCTTGCCCAAGTATAGTGAGGCTGATACGCACCCATCGCAATCTCCGTGTCTCTAGTGCTTTCCAAGGAACGTTGATTGATGTTTGCAGACGCAAGTATCATGTACTCATCATCGACTATCATTCCTTTTGAATGGACGTCGATCATAAAGCGTCGGTTTTTTCGGGTCAGTTCCTGAGTATCAACAGGACACATTCAAATGGAAGGGGATCATGGACAAAGATGATTGGAAAAACAGGAAGCATAATATTTGGAGAGAGATTAAAATATAGGTACCCAATCTTTCCCTTTCCAAACACGCATTATTGTGTACTAATTGGGCGTTGTTTTATATGAAAATATAGGTAGGAGTAGAGATTTACTTGAGAATGGTTTTTGGTAGTAGCATTTCCTGCATCTGAAGTGTCTTCCCTATCTCGAGCCTCGCGATTGCCAAGACAGAAGAAATTCAAATAATCTTGAGGTTCATATTTCTTCTCAAGCCCTACCTCTTCCAAAGCCTTGTAAATTTCTTCATACATCATTTGCATTGTGTTATGCTGCATACTCAACAATATCAGCAGGTTCATGAGATGGATGTAGCAAAAAGCCCAAACATTATGTAGTATTATCTAAAAAAATTTCATATCCTCTCATACTTCTTCTCAAAAATAGATTATAATTGACTTCAAGATAAATTTGTGTCACATCACATGTATATTGTCTGGAGAAAATTGAAAATTGAAAAGGAAAAAAGAAAAAGAAAAAGAAAAGAAATAGAAAACCCTTCATTTAGTAAGGAATTCATACCAAACCAGGTTTAGGTACAGCATGCAACAAAGTAATGAGTTTTATAAGCATAGTCATCAATCCCATACCGGTCAGCATACCGTGTTTGCCATTAATACAGTACGTACTGATGCCAGTGCATTCAGCTTAGTGTTTTGAATTTATCACTACAAATGTTATATATAAACTTACAAAATTTGATGGAGAAAATGTGGCATTGCCTATATCAGGTGTTGTTCAACACTAAACCATTTTAGAACATAAATATGTTATCCAACGCTAGTACGTATCTAAACAGAGTTAAAAGACATTTGTTATTATAAAAGAATAAAAAAATAAGCCATTTTAGAATAACATACACAAGTTCTAGGTACTTCAAAGTGACCTTAAAACAACCAATCATAAGTTGTTAAAAAATTTAATACATTAGCATTTGGTTATACATATTACAAGCATACAACATTAATTAAAGATGAAAAGAAAAGGAATAAGTTTTAGGGCTTTCGGTCCAGAAGTCCAATTTTTATTTTCTTCAGTCTAAAAGTCTATACTCTAAATTACTATGTCCATAAGGACACGCTCTTGAAAAAAATACCAAATTACCCATATATAGATCATGCGTGTTGTTCCTCTCAATAATGAAACCCTCTCTCTCTCTCTCTCTCTCTCTCTAAATCACTTCTCTCTCCCTCTATCTATTTCGTTCTTGAAACCCAGATAAATGAGCGAAGAAGGAGGGATGAGCAAAGGTTTTGCCGCCAGAGTCGCAGCTGTCGGCACCGGCGCATCAACGCGAATGACAGCGTCATCACCGTCGACGAGCTCAAGCAAGAGTGTGTAAGGCATCAAGAGAAACCGAGAGAAAATGGCGATGATTAGGTCATTTTACCACTCGATCTACTTCAGATCTCTCTCTTCTTCTTCCTCCACCGCACCATATCCACACTCGCAACAACATTGTACAATGAAGATGAAAATGATGAGAAGAAGATTAGAGTGGTGATGAAGCATAGTGTCAAGATCTTGGAAGAGGTAGTCATTGTTGTTCTCTTTGAAGCTTTTTTGTTTTTTTGGTAACATTTTGCTATGTGTTATGTTGTGCTGTGCAAAATAGGTCTGTCAGATTTGTTGTTGTCCGTCAGATCTGAGATCCTGCACCTCCTTCTACCATAGAGATCGATGGCTTTGGCTGAGATCCGGCAGATCGAGAGGGTTATGGTTTCGCACTCCCCCCCTCCTCCTCCCTCTTCCTCCCTCCCCCCCCCTCTCTCTCTCTCTCTCACACACACACACACTCATCGTCTTTCTCTCTCTCGGGTTAGGGTTTTGATTTGCAAACAGATTGTCACCACAGTCCAACATCAACCACAACTCCGAATGAAATCGCGATCATCATCAACCACAACGGTGATCGTTTGGATGATTTGAGGCGGCGATAATGGCGGTGGTTCCATCGCCTTTGGTTTTCTAGGGTTTGACATCAACTGAATGAGAGAAACTAGTCTCAAAACCAAATCAATAATATAGATAGAGATATATAAGTATGGTTTTATGTATTAGAAGTAGGCAAAATCTACCTATATATGGTTTTATGTATTAGAAGTAGGGAAAATCTACCTGTACATGGTTAGGAATTTTTTTTTTTCCTTATCTAATCACAACAGGTAGTGGTGACATTTTTCACAATTTTTCATATATTTATATAACAAAATCAATTGGGTTAAAGTCATTCTAATAATGTTGTAATTTGAGGATGAACCAATACATCTTTTGTTCTCTCTCTAGTCTCCAATAACCATGTACAGGTAGGTATGTTCTTCTTTCTCTCCTCATTGGGTTGCTTTTCTTCTCTCTATTTGGTTGTAATTTCGAGAGACAAAAAGTGTGGCGAAGAGGTTGAAGAAGTACTTGGAAGAGGCACATACAAATCTATTTTTTTATTTTTCTTATTTTTTGATATTGTTATTGTTGACGATGATGATGAACAGATAGGATTTGATAATTTGTTGTTGTTGATGATGAACAAATAGGATTTGTTGTTGTCGATGATGATTTTGAACAGATGGGTGAGACAGAGATAGAGAGAGACAAAGAGACAAATAAAGAGAAGCAATATTTGAACAGATAAATTTTTTTGAACAAATAGGATTTGGTTTGGCTTGATATTTCAACAGATAGAAAAAAAAATTGAGCACTTAAAATTTCAACATATAAAATTCAAGGAAAAAATTGAACAGATAGGAATAAAATTTGACCTAAAAAAATCATAAAATTAAACAAATAGGGAAAAAATTGAAAAGATAGAAAAAAAATTAAACAAATAGATATAAATTTGAACCGATAGTCAAAATAATTTGAACAGATAGTAAAAAAAAAAAAGTCAATAGATAAATTAAGGGATAAAATTAAAAATAAAATGTCTTTCAAAACAAATAAGATGACTTCTCACCAAACTATTTCAGAAATGGTGGACTACTCTCACCAACATAAAACATCCACTCAACCTAATGATGCCTTATACCCTCCTTAGGTTGGACTTTTCAAAAATTTTCTCTAAGTTTTATTTGTTAACCTTATATCTTTTGCCCCCTTATAAATATTTTTACGAGGGGCAATATAATCTTCACCTCCACTTTCTTCCTTCTCAAATTCTGACCAAATTATGGAATTTATTTAGCTCAATATATGTAAATGGTTTCTTCCAAATACAAAAACAAAGCTTGTTGCAAAATTTTCATGAATCTCAAATAAAAAATTTATGTACACTTCACATAACAGTTTACACTTATACTTCACAACAGTTGTGAACTGTTCTCTTTTACAGCGCGTGAAGGTATATATCACATAAGCAGGAATCAGTTTAGGATTCCACAAGTGACAAAGTGATACCATTTTGATCTCTACTAACATCTATATAATGGTGCCATTCTCAATAACAACAAAAGGGATATATATATATAGAACATATGGGGTGATTCAATTTGTGGGGGGGGGGACAAGGAATCCTTTCAGTCATATATAATTATACCACAAAAATAAGAAATTACATTACAATTTCTCAACATTAAATCTTTTTGATGCAGCATGATCACTCTTTAATATGGTTTCAGCAAACGATAGATGCTTAAGGCAATGTTAGACACAGCAGTTGGAGTTTACCTGCCACAGAAGAATCCTTTGAGTCGGAGCACCTGTAGGAACACCCCCCGGCCACATTGGGATGACAATATATGCAGAAAATCTCTCCTTTTCTCTGATTTTATTTGCAATTTTGAGAGCAATTTCCATAGGTATTAAATTGTTTGCACCTGTGGATAATAAGAAACATATATATCATCCTCAAAATGCTCACTTTCAACGTCTAGAAAATTTGAAATTTCACAACAGCCACCCTATCTTTCCTCAAGATTATAATGCTTTTATTTCCCTTGTCATGTTTGTTTCAGCAATCAACCAGCGCACGAAAAATGAAGAAAATGAAAACTGGTAATGAGTTAGATATTAACCATTACAAGCAGCTGATAGTGCATAATTTCCACAACAAATGACAATAAATGAGTTACTGAATACCCGGATTCCTATATATAATTTTCACAGTACAACTTTTGATATGTGATAGTAACAACATATCCTTATTTTTTCCCTTTCAGTTTACCCTGAATGTCAATTCCTCACCTAAGTCTCTGTGGTTAGTCCAATTGTGTGATGACCCAAGGAAGTACTGGTTCTCAATGTAAATGAAATATTGGGCAGCACGGATTGCCTTTACATATGCAGTATGTATACTCATGTCTATCAGGACATTCTTCCCACATACCAGGTTCTGTTACAATGAAGGGAAGATATTAAAAAGCACACCTCATAAACAAGATTGACGGAAAAATAATCAAGGGGCAAATCACAATCCAAAATTTTCTCCCACCCTGCTTGTGGCATCTTTTGGGTCTTTTGGAAACCCCTTAACAGAATTGGAATCAATTGAACGAAAAACCTATAATTTTTAAATAAGTTAGTTAATAAAAATTGAGTATCAAAGTTTAATAATTTTGAATATCTAATTTAACAGCCTCCATAAACTAACATACCTGGACATGCCAAGCTTCTGGACCATCCTCATTTAGGCAAGACACATATGTAATTCCAATGATGTCGGGAATTCTATCAATTATGAGTAATGAATCATCATGCGACTTTGTCATTTTTTGAAGCCCATGAGGCTTTGAAGCCCTTAACCAACGCTCCTCAAAGTTGGTGAAGATGTCATATGCTGCTGGACCATCAATTTGACAGTGTAAGTCATGCCACGGTTCTCTTGGACAGCCAGCAACAGGCCCCTGTTCAAGTAACAACAAATATTGGGAAAAGGAAAGGTTAGAGAAAATGAATCTTTAACATCACATGTTAAAATGGAAGTGGTATCACCAACCCAGATACTTGTCCTACTCTATTTATATTCGTCATTCTTTTCCTTTCTCATTTTACTTTTCTTATCTTTTCTAGCGACCCAAAAAAATTGGGGTAGATTTTCTTACTCTATTTATACTTTTCTTTTCGTGAATGAAAGTTTTGGTTTATATAATTATTTGGAACCATGAAATATTGATCATTTTTTGTACAAGCCAAACAACGAAAAATGTGTTCTGGCTTGTCGCAACCAAACATAGGAAAACAAGTCATTTTAAAGAAAATGTTTTCCATGGAGGAAAATGTTTTCATTGAAACAAATGGAATGTTAGTAGATAAATCACATATAACTAAAGGAGAACAGTAACAATAAAAATCCATAACTTGATAAAAGCCTATGGCAATAAAGAATGTTGATCAAATGAATACCGTGAAAGTAGGATTATGATAATCATCTTTGTGCACAGTTTGTAATGTCCGAGAGATAGGATGTTTGGGAGTGTAGAAATTTAATGTATAAAGAGAAATGATTGTATTATTGATTGATTTATTGAATGTTACAATGATTCCTATATATAGAAGAGTAGGTGGTAGATGGAGTAGGTAAAGTGGAGGTGGTAGGTGGAGTCATGGTTTTCAGACCCGGACCGGCCCGGCCGGTCGAACCGGTGGAACCGGTCCCCTCTCCGGTCGCTATGATCTTCCTCTTATAATGACCTGCATCAGCATCCACAATCACAGTTTTCTGATGATGGGTGTAGATTGTTCCTGCTTCCTGATAACCAGACCAATAAGACATTAAAAGCAGATCCTGAATCTAGAAAAGGTATATCAAGATTATCATTAAAAATTTTGGTTTTAGCAATTCTAAATCGTTGTTTGATCTAACACCTTGGTAGACAATTGTAAATAACGCATTACAAAAGGTATGATTCTCTACAATATAGCAATATGAAAAAGTAACTGACAAAAACAAATACAGTTCCATAACATCAAATTCAACTATGCTAACTATTAGTAACTCGAGTTTAACATGATTGGTTAAAATTTACACGTCTTCTTCTGAAGACAATATTTAGCAACACAAATTGCCTTACTTCACCACCACTTTTACAAATACGAATTCAAGAACTCTTTTCAACTTTCCTAGAACTTATTAGCATCATCTCACGGAACTTAGAAGAAAGCTGCATCCAATTCTTCAGAAAACATATCACAACAAGGTAAGATGTAAAGATTGCAGATCTGACCTGCTTTTTGACCCAGCTATCTCCTTTTCCAGAAGATCAGGGACAAAGCAAAACTTGCACTGAAGAATGCTTGAAGAACTTCTGAGTCTCCTCATCACTGGTATGCATGATCCCATCCTAATAAAAAAAAAAGTAATATCTTGTAAAAAGTGTTTTACTTAAGTTAATGAGCAATGTAGGAAAGATTGCAGATCTGACCTGCTTTTTGACCCAGCTATCTCCTTTTCCAGAAGATCAGGGACAAAGCAAAACTTGCACTGAAGAATGCTTGAAGAACTTCTGAGTCTCCTCATCACTGGTATGCATGATCCCATCCTAATAAAAAAAAAAAGTAATATCTTGTAAAAAATGTTTTACTTAAGTTAATGAGCAATGTAGGATTAAAAAGTTAATGTGGACACCACGTTTAAGGAACAGAACTTAGCAGATGTCATGAAAGAAGACAGTTAGTACACTACAACTCCAGCTGAGAAAGGTTTATCCACAAATAATAAGATCTATAAACACAATATGGTATGATAAACTTATTTAAACAATAAATAACAATATAGGGTGTTAATAAACACTTGCATGGAAACCATGACAATTGACAAATTGAAACATCAAGTCATACAAGATTGTTAGACTTCAATCCAATCTTATAATTTCAACAATGCTGAATGCCAAGATAACAAAAACAAGAGCATTATACAAAGTGAGGAGGGAAATAAGGAAGAACAAGGACACTCATTTATAGGAACTGTAAGCCCATTTTAAACTTTCAAAGCATAACTTCACTCAATGATGGAAACAAACTCTTAAACCATGACTTGAATTTGTCAATTATTAAAATTATACCACCCAAAATAGGGCCCAATATGATAAATATTACTGCTACCCACCCATGATAG